CCACCCCCCGCCTCCTGCGCCTCCTCCACCGCCCCGAGTGCCAGCCCTGCGGGGACACGGGAGAGAGCACCCTCGCAGCCTCCACCTGAGACCCCTGAGCGGTCAGAACGCCAGAGAGCCAAGGATCTGGGGGATGACATGTCGGGGTGGTGACGGGATTAGAAGTTCTGGCCTGTTCCGAAGGCTGCGGGGGTGCCGGTTAAGGTGTGACATGAGCAAGCGCGCCTAAGCGTACTGAAGCCCATAATACAGAGAACCACCGTCTGCGACCCAGGGGGCCCACCACCCCAGTGTGTGTGTGCGTGTGTGTGTGTGTGTGTGTGTGTGTGTGTGTGTGTGTGCGAGTGGGAGAGCCGCCCTCTGCCCCCCGGCCGCCCCACCCCACCCGTGTGTGTGTGTGTGTGTGTGTGTGTGTGTGTGTGTGTGTGTGTGTGTGTGTGTGTCCAGGTGAGAGTCCTTACCACTCCCACTTCGACTGTGTGTGTGTGTGGTGTGTCGGTGAGATCAGCAAAAGGGCATCCCCTGAACTTTTATTTGAACACCATATATGGAGTCAAATCAGGCTGACTGAAAGCGTTTCCACACCAGCTACATGCTGGTTTACGCCGACCTTTATTCATAATCGTACACACACACACACACACACACACACACACACACACACACACACACACGCACACTTTTGTATTTATTGCAGACTGTCAGCGTGCAACATTGAAAGGCATTCAAAGGTACTACCTCTGATGACCAAAATGTTCCAGATGATTAATTTCAGGTCAAGCACATGACTACCTGACTGTTCTTTGGCGCTAATTCTACAATTAATCAGATCCAAATGACCCCTTGCCTCTCAAGACAATGTAATTATGTCTTAATTACTATAATAAATATTTTCCCCAAAACAAAGTTTTGACAGGATTTGGCAATGTGGGATGTTATACAATTACTTCTCAACATATTAAGATGCTGAAGAAGTGTGATTAATTGACGCAAAGCACTTAAGGGGTAAATGTCAAACAGATTTAGAGGGTGGATTATTTTAACATGAACTAAAGGGAGATAATTTGTACATCACACTGTGCTTGAAAAGGCTTTATTTGAAAGTTAGTAAACCTCATTTCCAAACAAATTCAGTTCTGGCAGAGTATGAAGGCCCATAAGCCAAAAACCCAGTGCATTTGCAACTGGCTGCCCCCAAAACATCTGGCACTAAAAAATATTATGTCCCATGAATTACACCCTACAGATGGACATATTTCACTTCACATACTAGCAATAACAGCAGATCGAAGGACAAATGGCCTAAGAAAACTAAGCGTGAATTCGTTGTAATAAAGCAAAGAAAGTCTTTGAGGGACCCTTTCCTATTAATAATATTAAGTTATTTACCCGGAACATGGACAGCTAGAATAGAATGGGAAACTTGAATATCCCCCTTTCTCTTAACATTCCTTAAGCTCAAATGTATAGGTCTGAAAACCCAAATTCTTCAAGTATAGTCAAAAGAGTCTACACACACACACACACACACACACACACACACACACACACACACACACACCGTTGAAGCTTGTATTACATAAGCAGCTGTTGTTTCTCCTGTTTTCCCAGCAACAACCAGCACAGTCCTTTCCCCATAATCTAAATGTTAAAAACTAAAAAGAGCGAAGCCATTTATAAACTGAAGATAGGAACCCTCTGCATAAAGGAAAAAGCATATTTCAAAGGACTATGGCAATTGTGGCTATGCTTAAAATATTTCTGAGCAATGATGTTAAGATGCAAAAATATAAGAAAACAGAAAGTGATGCCATTACAAAGCAAATCATGTTCATTGAGGCAGGGAATTAATGATCATTTTGCAGGCTTTACCTACCAACAGTTACTTTAAATGCCTGAATTAAGTATGTTAAGGAGAGTGAAAAAAAAAAAGAATCAAATGAATGGGTGTGTAGTAAATGGCAGATGTTAATCTAGATGTTTTTTATCTGATGTCTCAATTGAATCCTGCCAAATATCCTTAAACTTAGTATTTCTGTCTGTTCTGAAGTTTGTAGACTGCGGCATAGGAACAGAAGCTACTCCAGAAGCAGATGCAGTGTTGGAATTCAAGCCCCAATCCACCGTGTCTATACACCTTTTTACCACGTTAGTATGGTCTGTTTTCTTGACATTAAAAACATGAATAAATAAATAAGGTAGATTTGAAGAGTGTGTCCCTTGGGTTGTTACGGTTTTAAGTATCAGCAGGCACTCTGGTTGTCTCAGTTACAGGAGGTAAAGACTCACATAGAAATTCAACCAGAGGCTTAACTAGCCTCTGGGTCTCACAGGTGTGGTCTATACCTTTGATGACTCGGGGAAGAGGAGTAACACTACGTATAGACCACTATGCTCTGAGTGCCATGATTTAATCAAGAAGCTCCACAACGTTTCTAAATGCCCTAAATTAGGGTTCCTAGGGCTGTGAAGAGATACCATGCCCACGGCAACTCTTATAAAGGAAAAACATTTAGTTGGGGTGGCTTATATTTTCAGAGGTTCAGTTCATTATGGTCATGGTGCGTTGTGGTGGCATGCAATCAGACATGGTACTGGAGAAGGAGCTAAGAGTCCTACAACTCCACTTGTAGGCAACAGGAAGTGGTCTGTCTCACCGGGCATGGCCTGAGTATATCTGACACCTCAAAGCCCGCCTCCACAGTGACACTATTGCTCCAACAAGACCACACCCACTCCCACAAGGCCACACCTCCTAATAGTGCCACTCCCTTTGGGGGCCATTTCCTTTCAAACCACCACTTGCCCTTTTCACCAGACTTAGTAACAATAATCTTACCTATTACTTTAAGCATTGCTTGATTTTAAGAAAAAAGGAATCACTTTCCCTGCTTCCTATGCTATCTCTCCCCTGCCCCAATGGCACACTGGCAGACATTTATATCACACCAGGTATGTAGGGGGACCAGGTCAGTTGTATTAGCTAACTCACATGCTGTAACTGCTTCTTCTAACCTAATGTGTCTGAGGTCAAAGTTTAGAAAAGACAGACACACACAATCATCTCTTGGGTAATAGAGTCTGGCGTGGCTGGTTACGGCATGCTACAGCTCTAACGCCTCATGTTTTTCAGAACACAAGAATAATTTGTACAACTGTGGCTCCTTGTCCCTTTACCTGCCTCACCAACCCTTGGCAGATGTCTCATTATCAACTGCCCTACAGGGAAAAATCTGACTCTTTCATCATTCTTGCCAGAGTCTATGTCACAAAGAGATGGCCACCTGAACCAGCCACCTGTCTCTTGGTTGTTCAGCTGTGGCTAACATGAAATGGTCACTTGCTACAGAACAATGCTAGCCCTTAAACTGTTTCTCTTTATCTACCTTTTTTGTCTTGGGGCTTATTACCTTTTCTGACTTTCTTGCTGTCTCTATGTCTGTCTGGCTGACAGCTGCCTGCCTTGTGGCACCAGGCCTGTCCCTTGTTCGTTCCTTCTCCTTCTTCTCTCATTCCTTCTAGTCTAGATTTCTCCTCTTTATTCTCTCTGCCTGCTAGTCCCACCTATCCTTCCTCTGCCTAGCTATAGCCGGTCAGCTTTTTTTTATTAGACCAATCAGGTGCCTTAGACAGGCAAAGTGAAATAAGTGCAACACATCTTTACATAAATAAGCAAATACAACATAAACAAAAGTAGCACACCTTTACAGAGTTAAAATAATATTCTCCAACATAAACAAATGTAACACATCTTTGCCCAGTTAAAATTATATTCCATACCAGTGCACGGCAGCGGCAACAGGCCTGAGAAGGACTGTGCTCAACACCAAGGACACCGAGTCAATACTGAACGCTATGGGAGACCCTTAAATCTTTATTTCAAATCTTCAAAAAGAATGCCATGACCATGGCTTCTGGTCCCTAGCCACCATATGCTCTGAAAAGGAACAGCCTGCCACAAAATCCGGGGGATTCCTAACTGGATAGAGACGGCTGGATGAACATAAGCATTTTCCTTCTTTTCTAGCTTGTGTCTCAGAGGGCATTTTAAATTTTATACACTTGGAGCCCTGCTGGTGTGTGTGTGTGTGTGTGTGTGTGTGTGTGTGTGTGTGTGTGCCCCTTAATTCTGGAGCAATCTGAAGTGATTGACATACTGTCTGATTCTTCTAGCTCTGGCTTTTGGGATGTGCAACAGTAAGTAATAAATATTTAGCAAGAGTTTCAGAATTATGAAGAAATAAATAATTGTCCCTCAGTCAGCAAAGCTGCTTGGTGTTGGCAGATTCTGTAACGGGAAGAGAGGTATGAGAGCAGCTAGCCACCAGTACAAACTGAGAGAGCACGGATCAACTCCTTGAGGTGGTGTTGATGGGAGACTTCATGTTACCCTTCTTTCACTTCGGCTGGGCCTACATGCTTCTTGCATTGGGACCATCTCAACTCTTCTATAATATCAAATGTGAAGGGTGTATGCTTTTTTTCAAACCCGCTCTTGGCTCCTTCTCCAGCATCATGTCTACCTGCCAGCCATGATGATAGTGGACTAAACCTCTGAACCTGTAAGCAAGCCCCAATTAAACGTTTTCACACCATTTCTCCTTAGCTGCAAGCCAACTCTGGCATCTGCTATTTATCAAAGTGTCTTCAATCTGAACCAGTGTCCGTGTTACAGGCAGCTGCTCCAGTGACTCGAACTTTGGCATCATCAGATTGAGATTCAAGTATGGCTTCTACCACTTCTACCACATGGGACACTGGACAGATAACTTCGACTCCAAGCCTTGATATTTTTATCTATAGAATGGAACACAAAGGTTTGTGTCATGCATGATGCTTAGCAATTAGTCCCTTGTTAGCACAGGTTAAGACTACAATAAGTGTATCTTAGCATCTTAGTGCTGTGAATAGACACCAACTCTTAACAGAGGAAAACATTTCACTGGGACTGTGCATACTTCTCCCCCATAGAAGAATACACTGGGGGGTGTGGAGATAGTTCACCCAACCCAGATATTGTTGATGGAGAAGTGATGGCCACAGCACCAGTCTTGAGTCTGTAGAACCTGAGAGTCAACTGCAGTGGCAAGCAAAAGTGTGACCATCAGCCCAGGCCCCCAGCAGTGCAGGCTGGCCCCACTAAGACCATTATAACAGTACTACTGGAGTACCCCAAGCTGAGGAATCAGGATGGCTCATGAAGAATGACTGGAGATTACAGAAAGCTAGATGGGGTACATCTATATCCATGCCACTTTTCCCAACACTGCTCTTTCAGGAATCAAATGATAATAGCTAATTTTTATTAAATCTCCTCAGCTCCCGAAATCCAAGACCAATTGGCACTTATTTGAAGTGTATGGTAGTGGTGGACCTTCAGAGACTCTGCCAACCCTCTGTTTCAAGTAAAAGTTTCATTGTTTCATACTGTGGCATGAAAAAAAAATCTTAATACTGGGGCAGGTCACCTTCCTACAAGGTGTTGGCCAGGGAGGACCTTGATGTCTATCACATAATAAAAGTTATTACAATGTGCCAGAAGTGGTGGTAAGTCCCTGTTGCTGAGACACCACATGCTTCATTCAGCAGCAGAATCTAAAGATACCAGACAGAAGCTCCACCCCTGACTGCTGGCCATTGTGATGCTAGAAGGTGCTAGGCAGGATGATGAGGAAGAATTGTCACTGATGGTCCCGATACATATGACACTACTTTATTAGTCACTTTCCTGTGACCAAGGCAACTTATAGAAGGAAGAGTTTATTTTGGACTTACAGTTCTAGAAGGTTTGAGTCCATGATGGCTCACCAGAGGTTGCGGACAGTACATGGTGGGCACAACATCTGGGAGCTCACCTGACAAACTGGAAGTAAGAAAACAGAGAGCACTAACTTGAAATAGCATAAGGTCCTTTGATACCAGTGATATAGTTCTCAGTTGGGAACCAAGTATTCAGATGCCAGAGACAGATGGACGGGGGAATATCTCATTCAAACAACCACAACTACCAACATACCAGACAAGAAGTGACTGCTGGTGCAATAGTGGCAGAGCCGTTAAAGAGTACAACTAACTGCTTTCTCATTGAATGTTAGGCATACTCTAGGAGAGGAAACTCATAGCTAGTACCATAAACCAGGGCAACTACTTGAAGCTGGGGAAGTAATAGGTTCCTGTGGGGAAAGCAATCACTATTGTTAGTTGAACACATATGATATGCTTATCAGATTGCCTTATGAGTTTATGAACATTTATGTCTATGCCATTGTGTTACATTTACTGCAGCTGTCAGCCTAGGTCATGGAGGGAAACTGTTTTTAGACAATGGTTACTGCTGGGACCCAACTAGTCATATTGTGGATAAGGGACTTGTGTGGGATGGCATCTCAGTGTTCAGCCATAAATGATTAGATATCTGTGTCACTCTGCCAGGTTCATCATAGAAGATAGGGTGGAGAGAATGTAAGAGCCTCAGAAAGGGGTGGGATGTTGCCCTGCTCTCCATTTCCTCCAAACTGAAATATTCCATCTCGGAGGGGATAATGTGAGACTCGGAAGCTAACAGATACTAAGAGGCTTATCGAGGTTTTGGACTGTGTCTTTGGAGATGGAGTCTCACATAGCCTAAGCTTCAGCCGAGGATGGCTTCAAACTCCTGATCCTCCTGCCTCTCACCACCAAGTGCTGGGATTACTGATGTGTGCTACCATATCCAGTACTCAAGTTATTTTCTTAAAGATTTAAGTGTATGAGTGCCTCTCCCTCTCCCTCTCCCTCTCCCTCTCCCTCTCCCTCTCCCTCTCCCTCTCCCTCTCCCTCTCCCTCTCTCTCTCTCTCTCTCTCTCTCTCTCTGTGTGTGTGTGTGTGTATGCATATACATGAGTACAAGTGACTTCGGTGACCCAAAACAAGCAAGCAATCATCAGGGGCCCTGGGGCTGGAGTTGCATATGATTGTGAGTCTCCTGACATGGGACCTGGGAATTTTGAACTCTGGTCCTCTGCAAGAACAGTAAGTGCTCATAATCACTGAGCCATTTCTCCAGCCACAAAGAAACATTAAACTATCGCTGGGGAAGAGGAGAGGTGACTTCAGAAGAGCCACCTACATGCTGGGCAGGAGCGTCACAGATTGTAACTGTCCTGACCCTTCACCCTTTCATTCTGGGGTCTGCTGTTCCGTGATGCAGCTGCCTCTGAGTCATCCGTGCTTCTGTTAGTAATCTCAACAAACACATTTGTTCACCAAACACAACTCAGGAAGAATCATTTATCTGGTCTGACAGTGCTTTGTCTGGGCCAAATAGACATCCATTCATGTCTCCCCAAGAAAAGCCCATCACAGGAATGTTTGTTATCTCTTAAAGCTGCTGTCATAAAAGTAGAGCAATCAACTTGTGAGTAAGCAGGAATCTATTCAAGTTTCATGCCGTGTGACAGTCGTGTCTGACTTTGCAATTCATTTTACTTCTCTGAGGTTTTCCTTATATCTTAAAGTAAATTAATACCTGTCTTGTCTATTATGTAAGATGCCTGGAATGAAGTTAAACAATAGGGCCTTTAAAACTACTGATAACCTGAAGGAAGTCATGGTTGAGGCTGTTTGTGTTTTTCTAAATTTGCCCTTTCTTTGAATAAGCCAATGCTGTGTGCATATCTTGCCGATGCTTCCCTAAGAGCCCAATACAAACTACATTACATATTCATGAATGCATGGATAATATAAGATACAAAGCCCAGTGATCAGAAATCACTTTGTTGGATGGTTATGGCCCAGTCAGTAAAATGCCTGTTGTGTAAACATGAAGATGTTGAGTTCAGATCCCTAGCACCCACATAAGAGCCAGGGGCAGAGGCATGCATTTCAAACCCCAATGCTGGGGGCAGGGTGGAGTGGGTTGGGGTGCTGGACTGACAGTAAATCCAGATCTGGCATCCATTAGCCAGCAAGTCTAGTTAAATCAAGTTCCAAGACCTCGAGGCCCTATCTCAAAGGTAAGATGGACACTGAGCATGATTGACAATTGACATGGACTTCTGACCTACACATATGTACACACAGAGAGAAAAACATTTTGTAAAGGACAGATCATAAATTCTTTTGGTGAAAGAGAAATGTAAAGAAAATAGCTTCTAAGGAGCTGGAGTGTGCTGCAGGCAATGGGGTAGAGTGTTGGGAAGGCTGTCTCAGCAGGTGTCGAAGAAACCAGAAGCCTAAAATGTGAGACTACAGTTGAACAATAGCAGATCTGGAGAAATATAGTTAGTAGATGTCATGCAGAATATGCAAATACATTTGGATCTTTGCTAGAGAAAATCATTTTATAGCCTGAATATGTCTGAAATATTGTATGGAGCATACTCAAATAGTCATGATTTATCTGAAATCAGCCTTAGGTACTCTTGACTTTTATTGGCTAAGTCTGTAGTCATTGAGATAATCAGTAAATGCAGTCCCACACCCATGTCCATATTTCTATCAGGTACATTCATTTTCCTTTAAAGGCCCATCTGTGTTCCAGTTAGGGTACGCGATTCAGTAATGTTATGGTGGTATTCATTGCTTTTTGTTTGTTTGTTTGTTTGTTTTTTGTTTTTGAGATGGGGTCTTAGTTCAGACTCATCTGGAACCCTGTGAGCAGTCTTGTCTCAACTTCCCAGTTCTGGGATTATAGCTTTATTCTACTGAAAACCATTCTGGCACTGTGCTATATAGTCTCTAAGAATGTGGACATGTGCTTCTGCACCCCCAGTGTATGGGCTATCTAGCAGTGGAACAACTGACCCACTTTCCACAGGAGAGACACTGAATTGGATATGTGGATCCAAAGACCCACAGTCTTCTCCCTTATCCTCCACTTACACAGCAGGAAGGGACACAGTGCATGACACATTGGCAGGAAGGTCTCCCTAGGGCCCCTACCCCAAAAGCTTACAGCAGCCTCAGCCTCAGGCTTTGAGTGGAGAGTGTATGTATGACATAGGCAACAAAAGAAAGGTCCAGGCTGTGAGGCCTGTGAGGGGGGGAGTAGGAGCCACTGAGATCAAAGGGAATTCATCTGATGTGACAATGTGAACAAGCAGGTAGGGCAGGCAGGTCAAAAGCAGGAGCCCTCAGGAGGCAGACTCTCCTTGAAAACTTAGGTGGGACAAAGGAAAATCCAAACTACAGAGGTAGAACTCTAATCTTGTCTCTCCTACTTTGTAATTCCATTCTGAAATACGGTGTAAGACTTGGCAGGACTTGGATCCTGAATGACTCCCGTTAGCAATAGAGAAACTTGGAAATCAACCTAAAGTCTTCCTCCTTTTGTGACTCCTCCAAGTACAATAAATATGTTAAAATGATGCTGGCCCTTTAACAGGTTTGGAGTGATTACACAGAATGTATGAAAGTTCAATTCTCATAGAGGACCCCCCACTCTGTCCTGACCTCTGCTGAGGTGAGTGTTCCCTCTGCTATCAACCAACTTTCGCTATCACCCCTTCCTTGGATCTTTCTGGGCCTGCTCCTGGCATAGAGTAGACCCGCCCAGACAGAGAGGACCTCCCTGAGGCCAGAAACCCCTCACTCTTAGTGCCCCCCCCCCGCCCTGACCTCTGCTGAGAATACCAGGAGAGGCCAGACCATCTAGAGCTGTAGACACTGAAGTTTTGGCCCATGTACACCACCAGGTGACAAGAAGAGATAGAGAGACCCCACTTGCACCCACTGGAAGAAGAGATGGGAAGAAAACAGAGTAAGAACACACTCAACAACAGAAAGACCAATATGACACCACCAGAATCTAGGGACTCCACATTAGCAAGACCTGAAAAGCACAACACAGAGGAAGAAGAAGAGACCGACCTAAAAATCTACTTTATGAAGATGATAGAGACCTTTAAAAGAGGAAATGAGAAAATCTCTTAAAGAAATAGGAGAAAAAACAAACAAAAAATTAAGAAATAAATAATTCTCTTAAGGAATCTGAAGAAAGCCATGAAAAACGGCCAAACAAGTGAAGGAAGCACTCGAATCAGTTCAAGGCATGAACGCTGAAATAGAAACAATAAAGAAAACACAGAATGAGGGGATGCTGGAAATAGAAAGGCTGGATAAATGATCAGAAACTAAAGCTGTGAGTATAACCAATAGAATACAAGAGATGGAAGAGAGAATCTCAGATATTGAAGACTCGCTAGAAGATATACAGTCATCGACCAAAGAAAATCTCAAGTCCAACAAATCCCTAACACAAAATATCCAGGAAATATGGGACACTGTGAAAAGGCCAAAGAATATAGGTATAGACGAAGAATAATAGGTATAGATGAAGATGAAGAAATACAGCTCAAAGGTACAGAAAACATATTCAACAAAATCATAGAAGAAAACTTCCCCAACCTACAGAAGGATATGCCTATGAAAATACAAGAAGGTTACAGAACATCAAATATGCTAGACCACAAAAAGAAGTCCCCTCATCACATAATAATCAAAACACCAAACTTACAGAATAAAGAAAAAATTAGGAGCAGCAAAGGAAAAAGGCCAAGTAACATATAAAGGCAAACCTATCAGAATTACTCCCAACTTCTCAATGGAAACTTTAAAAGCGAGAAGGTCCTGGATAGATGTCCTACAAACACTAAGGGAACATGGCTGCTAACCCAGACTACTATACCCAGCAAAGCATTCAATCACTATAGATGGAGAAAACAAGATATCCCAAGACAAAACCAGATTTAAACAATATATATCCACAAATCCAG